TCCATACATTTCTGGACTATTCTATCTTCTTTTACTTGTATTTTTACTTATGACGACCGCATCACACTGTAGGGCGATGAGTAATTACACTTCTTTTTCTATTCGTACCTTTCCTATAACAGCCGCAGCCTACTGCAATGTGCTGCGTAACATTATGTACAAAACTAAATGTAGTAGATATTCTCCGAATCAATCCCCTTATTATTTATTATTATAACAATGGAATAATAATAAAAACACAAATCATAATTTTAATGTATTTACTCAGTGACGCAACTAGTTTCGACCATCAAGGCCATCAGGCCTACAATACAAATAAATTCTGTTGATCGGAGAAAACTAATTACCCATTAGAACAAAGGACCCCGCACTTTCTTAAAGTGATGACCTGTCTAATTTTATAAAACTTTGGTATGTTGTTGCACCCATTCTAGTAATCAAAAGAGTCTTTGGGTCCAATTTATTCCTGTGACTAGTCTTAATTATACTGGGGTTAAAATTAAAAATTGCTCAGTTTTTGAAATTTTTATTTTCAAACTTACGAGTTAGATTGGATTTATGTTTCATTCACACGTTATTTACTTATTTTGGTAATTTAGTTACAGAGTAATTCACAAATGTATGACGGTAGTATTTTACAAAATCTCACCAATTCTATTCCCATGCAACATCATGCCGTCATTATGACGTGATTTTTTGGTGTCCGTTACATCTTTTGATGACGTGAAAATAACGTTATGGTAACGTGAGAATGCCACAGCGAAATGACGTCATTCCATATCGTCATTTTGAAGAATCGATGTCACGTTAAAGTGACGTCTATATTGGGTGTTCCAAGGTTGGATGGAATTATTAAAAATACTAAGCAGATTAAAGTTATTTATTTAATCTTAAAACACATGAAAAATATATTATAAAAACTAAATTACACTGGTAAATAAAAAAGTGATGAGCCAGAAAGCAGAAGGAATAAAATGTCAAAAGAATATTAGAGGAACTGACACAACATACCAAAATTGTATATTTAATTTTATTTGGGGGTGGGCGAGCATGCTTTACGATTTCATCATCTTCAGTATCATCGAATGACAGCTTTCTATTTGGCATTCGTTTTCTTTTAGTATGTACTTTATCAGCCTCGGAATGTAGATCTGAGGTAACTTCGACTTTTTTTTAATTTGGTATATCACTTATCAATATCAACTAAAATAAAAAATGTATTAAAATACAGACCACTGAAAATGCTTAAATTGTGTATCTAGTTGTAAAATCTGAGGGGATTACTTCACCGGAGATTTAGGTAGTAGCCCCAAAAAACTACCTTCTCAAAGGTATACATATAGTCTGGGTTTATAACAAAAAGTTATTAAAAAAAAATCATATATCCTGTGAGATGATAAAAGGTATCTAAATCATGTGACCCCCTACAAATCTTTCGTTTTTAAATAAAATATTAAAAAAATACCTTGAAAGAACTCATAATCAAAAAATAAAGGTATAACATTACTCACCGGTCTTATATTATATTTCATTCTTGGTAACAGCTTTTTTCTTTATAAAGGCGGCCAAAAGACTTTTTTTTACACGGCGTCAGCCATTTTCTGCTTACCTCACAACCGTCATCATCCGGTTTTTCAAACTCAACAAGGCAATAAATCTGTAAACTACCAAATTCGGTTTAATATACTTTATTATTTTGTCGCGTTCTATTTTTTACCTTTTTCTAAAACATCTTATCAAATAAAGTACAATTTAAAAATGCACCACGTTCACGACTGTCACGAGAATCATGGAGATGAAAAAAAAACAGGAAACGACAATGACAATTGACAATATGACATTGTCAGAATATTTTTTAGTTTAGTACTAAAGCAATTTTAAGCGAACTACCAAATTTTCTTGGTATTAACCACAAAATTTCTTGGTTATCACATGCAAATATGGAAGGGGTAAGTATACTGACGTCACAAGTGGAAATCGCTTCAACGAAGTGGTATTTACCGTGGTTATAAGTTTTTTTACTTTAAAATGTCAATTGTCAATTCAATTTAACCTATCTTTTTCGCACCACTTCATTGAGTTTCAGAGGCAGTTTTCGTTAAAGTTATTTTCGTGAGTTTCGTCTACACCTACGCTGTATAATTGTATTGTTTATTTTCTTGCAAGAAAGAATGGATCCAAAGAATAAATTGGTATTGCTGGCCTTAGGTGAGGAAATATTGGACGACAATTTGCCATTTATCTTTTACTCCTATTTTAAAAGTTCTGCAAATGCTATTATGCATTGTCTACTATCAAATTTACGGGTGATGACCCCCAAACTATTAATCACTGAAAGATGGACAGTAGAGTATGATAATCTCCAGTTTTTCCACCTATTTCGTATGGGCAAAGAATCTTTCTATAAATTAGTTGAAGTTGTGGGAACTACTGACAAACAAAAATTTTTGTCAGAGCCATACACTGGTGGCCATCATCCCATAGATATTTATGGACATACCCTTGTATTTTTATGGTACATGGCAACACAAGATACCTTACTAAGCATTGGTACACGATTTAAAGTTTCCCCAGCAACAGTAATGGATATTGTTAACAAGATGCTGAACTTTCTCTTAAAATTAAAAAAAAGGTTTATTCAATTTCCAAAGTGTGAGCAAGAATTAAATGATGTTGCAAATAGGTTCCAAAACTACCCTGGTAAGAAGTCTTGATTTTCACCTACTACACACAACTTTATTAATTATTAATTAATCAATTATTATTGAAGTACAATGAAAATATAAATTTTTTATTGTTTATAAAGTTTTATCCTTTTTTGTTGCAGGTGTAATTGGAGCTGTTGATGGAACACATATTTTTGTTAAAGTAGAAAAAGAACAACAAGACAGTTACATTGATAGGTACAGGAGGCATTCAATTAACCTTATGGCAATATGTGATTCAAATACCTTATTTACATATATTTTTGTAGGATTCCCTGGATCAGCTCATGATTTCAGAGTAAGTGTATTTAGCAAATATTTTTCAATTTAAACGTAACTTGTTTCTTTTAAAATTATATGATTTTTATTTTTTTCAGGTTTTTCAAAATTCTATTTTTAATAGAAATATTGATAGATTTGGCCCAAATTTTTATTTCAAGGATGACCAAAAATATCATCTAGTTGGAGATAGTGCATTTGCCCTGAAGACATGGTTAATGTCACGTTATAAAGGTGATAATTTAAATAGGATGCATAGACATCATAATTATTGTTTGAGCTCAGAAATAGTTAAAATAGAACACTGTTTTGGAGGTTACAAAGGACGATGGAGACGAGTCCAATATATTAACACCTACAATATATGCAAAGCTATTGAAATAGCAACAGCTGCTTGTGTGTTGCATAACTTTTGTATTCTAAACTGGGGACTCTTGGGAGTACAATTATGAAATCAATACCCCATTGATATAGCGCATGAAAACCCTGACAGGAACAATATGGAAGCTCGATTGAAAAGATATAGGATTGCTTTTCACCTATTTAATTATAGATAATCTTATTTAATTTTTTATACTGTACCTTAAAATATAACAAAATAGCATATTTAACAAGTGTTTTATTTATCACAGCCTTTTTGTGAAAAACATGATTAAACAATGTAACACAAAAAACTTTCAAAAACAAAAACTAAATGTAATGTAGGAACACAGTATTATTACAAACTGAAAAATAAAATTCTTTGGTAATAAAATTTAAAACAAAATGCACACAAAACAAAAAACTGCTTACAATTGCTGCGTTTTAATATCCGCATCTGATATGTGAATTTGTTATGTAATAGATTAGATTTAAATGTAGATGTAATAAACAAACGCTTTAGACATAGTGGTCACATGCTAAAAATGACAATTCGCATTACATCTCATTTTAAAACGAGAAGTAAAAAAATGTAATTTGGACAGCTACATCTAGGATAAACAAATGCAGATGTGTCCGATGTGGATAAACAAATACTCCAGGGGGTCGATTCTCGACTTTTATTCCCATGGGAAAATAAAATTTTCTCATGGGAATTCAGTTTTCGTATTCTCGGCATTAGCAGTGGAATATTTCCCAATGAGAAGTATGGGAAAATATTCCCCTGCTTACGAGCATTGGAAATTGTGTTTTCCAATGGGAATTGTACTAGAGTTTGCGCATTAAAGTCGAAAATTTGACGAAAGACCACGTGAAAGACTAAGACATAACCGAAGATTATTGGATATCTTGGATTTTTGGTGAAATTGTAGTTAAAACATTTTTTTGGTGTATTTATAGATTGATATTATTTTATTTATGTGGGTATATTATTTTTACCTCTCTTTCACTAAGAAACTGATTTTCTTAAATTAGTTAGAAATTGTGGGAGCTGCTAAGGGACTGGCAAATAGGTAACACAAATTGAGAAATTTGTAGTAAATTTAATAAGACCTTTTCGAAAATTTTATTATTTCCGTTAACGAAAGAATTTCTTAGTTTCTCGAAACTTTCGTTGCTCTTCCATACAAAAGCTACTTTTTCTTTTTTCAACATGTGAAAAGAAAAACTAAAAATAACTCGATAAGTTTTAGTTATACGTACATAATCGAATATTTTCACTTGTCCTCGGTCATGCTAGCGATTGCTCGGCACGGCATCTGCTTCAGCGCAGAGGCTCGGCAGGTAATCGGTTACCCAAAAACCACAACAAATACAAATAATGCCAATAGTAAATTTTAAAATATCTTTAATGTTATTGGTTATTTCAAAATATTCGTGAACTTAATATCAGACATACGTGAAACTATTATTTCCATGGGAATGTCTATTCCGACAAGTTCGAGAATTGCATAACCTATTACCATGGGAATATAAGTAGTGGAATCTTTTCCCATGGGAAAATTTTCTAATGAACTCGAGAATCGAGTCCCAGAGATAAAAATGCTTTAGATGTGGATATTCAAACGCAGCAAAGTAAAATAAATGTTAATAAATTCAGTCTGAATCACTTGAATGCCTCGACCTTTTTTTTGAGCCAAATGCACGTTCTAAAATGTTTAAGAAGCGATCTTTTTGCTCCCTTGACTTGTCAAGATGTTCTTTAAAGATGCCAAACTCTCTACTTCTATTAATTCGATCTATTTGAATTTCTTTGAGTAAAGTACCTTGTTTATTGGATGGAGTGACTGTTCTCTTTGCTTTTTTAAACCTTTGTGTGTATTGGCTTGAGCCACATGGTACATTTTCATCTACCATTTCCGTATTTGCATAATTTTCTCTGTCTGATTCAGTTGTTTGACTGACTCCCTGATCATGGTTATTTCCATCTTCATCAATTTCCATTGAGTCTTCCAAATTGACAGGATTAACCTTATGTTTTCCTCTTATAATTAAAATAAAATTGAAATAATATAACTCCTATCTATCATTTGATTATGGATTTCAAAGTGATTCATAAATTTTTATCTAGAATCGTTTTTTTGTGAAAAGTAACTTTTTTCCCATAAAACTTTTTGGGACACTCTGTATATATACGATCTAAACTAATCAACAAAAGTTCTTACTTAAGGTGTTTAATATATGAAAGGTAGGATTTTTGAAGATTTGCAAATTTTTACCTACACAGTTCACCTTCTTTTTCGGATAAGTTAAAATTATTATCCTTAAAAATGTTTGCTACATCATTCCATAATTTAGCCTTTCTAGTTTTTTTGTCATCAAATAAATGATTCATTTTCTGTCTAGTTGAGAGCAATAGTGCAGTTGCCTCAATATCTTTTGGAGTAGGCTTTTTCCTGGTCCAAATTATTTCTTCTCCAGTAGGATTATCTTTTTGTTTGGGTTCTAATAATCATCATTATTTAATCCTACCACATCACTAATGTGTTTCAGTTTCTTCCGTTTTTAAAAAGGTTGCCAAATATTGAGAAGCCGCTTCAGCATCTGTAAAATAAAATAATAAAAAATAGTTTTTTATTAAATGTAAAATTGCACACTTGCAACTCTCTTCTATCTAAATGTACATTTTTAAACTTACCATTTAATAATAAATTTGCAGTCTCTAGGTCTGCAACTTTCACCTGAAAATCTTTCCCTTCGCAATTTATACTTAGCCAATATTCTTTTGCCTCTGCCATGTTTTAATATAATTTTGATATTTATTCAAAATTTACTTTTTTTTTTCACTTGTTTGTATTTTTACACAGTTGTAACTGTCATCAGTCATTACACCTATAATAACCAAGAATTAAAAACAGTTCTTGAGGTAGGTAAATACCGCAAAATGTTGGTTATAACTTTGACGCATAACAGCTGATTTATGACGTCACGGATATATTACCAAATTAATAACCGAAGTCGCTTGAATGTCGTGGTAATTACCTATTTCAAATGGTAAATATCAAATGCTTTTGGTTATTCGCTTAAAATTGACTCTAGATTGGTATAAATAATTGTACCAGATTTCATAAAAATGTACTAGATCTCCTCTTTGGTTGCCTTAGGAATATTATTAATTGTTTAGGATTTATTATTTGTTTTAGTTAGTGTTTAGTGTTAGTTTCAAGTTAAGATGAATCCAAACATAGCGTTAAGAGTGGCAATAGAGAACATGGAAGATAATGCTCCCAGACAAATAATAAACTATATAAATGCGTTTCAGATGAGTGATTATAATTTTAAAAAGACTTTCAGATTAACAAAAGACGTTACCAATGAGTTAATCGAAATGGTTACACCATATATCCAAGAGCGAACACGGGCATCTGGACTATCCATTGAAAGACAGGTAAAAAGTCTTGTTTGTTTGTAAATGGATTTAAAAATAATAATAATTACAGATCTTAGCAGCACTCAACTTTTTTGCAACAGGGAGCTATCAGACAGGTGTTGGCCAAAATGTTTTCTTAGGAATGTCACAAGCTTCCGTTAGTAGAAGTGTAAAAGAAGTCACGGATGCTTTGAATAGGCCAGAAATATTTGATCGATGGGTTCATTTTCCTGCAAACATTGAAGAAATGAATGACCTTCGTCAAAAGTTTGCATGTAGTTTTAGTTAAACCTTCCTTAAAGCAGTATACAAATATTTATAACTAACTGTTCCTTGTGGAACCATATACCACGAACGACAACCCTGTTTTTTCTAGCTTTTTCAGGGGACAGTACCACACGACATATCTACAAACACTTACAATTCCCGATCATAATCCCTCCTAATCCCTCAATAATACCCCTTGGGTAAGGAGTGAGGGCGGCTATGTTTAGCAAACTCAAAACAGTGGAAATATGTTCACATTATAACAGGCGGAGGAATCGTCTTTGACTCTATCGGTTTACCAATAGGGTCGCATGCTGTACTGCGTACAGTGTGTTTGTATTATATGTATATATATTGTTGTCAAAAATGTTTTAAAAATTGAATAAATGTTTTGAAATGAAATGAATGTTCCTTGTAGATTTTACAACAAATATAGAATGCCAGGTGTGATTGGGTGTATAGACTGCACTCATGTAGCTATATTTCCTCCTATAAACCATTCAAATTTTCCAGAGAATATTTTTGTCAATAGAAAGAACTATCATTCAATAAATGTTCAATTGGTAGGTACCCTTTATATAAATTACCCAGTACAGTACCTAATAGAAACGTAAACTAAATATTACTTTTTTAGATATGTGATGTTGACTTATACATATATCATGTTAATGCTAGATTTCCTGGAGGTTGCCATGATTCTCATATATGGAACACTAGTAATGCCCAGCAAATATTACGGAACATATATAATTGAGTTGGTGAAGGATATTTTTTGTTAGGTACGTAAATGAAGATAATTTTTGTATACTTATAATTAAAATTTAATGTCTTTTAGGTGTTTCTGGCTATGGACTTCGGCCATGGCTTCTCACTCCTTTAGAAAATCCGCATGGTGAACCAGAAGAAAGGTACAATATACGACATAACACTGCTAGAGCTACTATACAACGTGTAAATGGCATATTAAAAACGAGGTTCCGATGTTTGTTAAAACATAGAGTTTTACATTATTGTCTAACCACAGTATCCAAAATAGTTCATGCATGTATAGTACTGCACAATATATGCATTTTAAACCACATAGAGATAGAGATTGACGAACATGAAGATTTTGATTTTGGTTTAATAAATCAACCATTTAATGACATGAACAATGTGAATGGACGTGTTAATCCAGAGTTGGCAGCTGGAAGAAGAGTGCAAAGAAGAATAATTAATCAATTACAAGATTAAGTTATATGTAAATAAATTTGTAAAAGTAATTTCAGAATTTATTTTGAACTACGTATTTTAGTGCAGGGGTTTTAAACTTTTTTCAACCCGGGTACCCCTTTTTATGTTTCATTAACTAGGCGTACCCCTATCAACAAAATGTATTATATTAGTGGAAGTTTAACTGTTAAATTACCTCTCCTGACCCTACAGATATCCTCGGTACATTTGTATTTAGGTTATATCTACGAGGACATCGAATGAAAAAAACGGAGAGTTTATTACAAAGTCTCTGAAAGTAATTAGGTGGACTGGGCTTGTTTTTGTTTACAAAGTTCATAAATGTTTGGTTTCAGCTTGGTCAAATACAATCTAATTTTGTATACTTTTTGGTTGTTAACTGCGTACCCCCAAGGGGTACGTGTACCACAGGTTGAGAACCACTGCCAGCAAATATTATTTCAGTTAGTCTAACATGTTTATAGAAACAGAAGTTTAGTTTTGTAATCCTTCATTCAGGCTGTAGGTTTACCTACTAATTGAAAACACATATTAAAAAAAAATTATATTACAAAAAATAAAACAATAATTTACACATAAGGATAACATAAAAGGAAGAAAAAAACTATCTGTTATATATGGATAACAAGATAAAAAAGAAAATAAAACTATTGGTTAGATATTATGTGGTTGGCTATTTTTTCTAGAGCCACTGTCTGTCTCTCCATCAATGCTGAATTTTTTTCTAGAGCGACGGTCTGCCCTTCCATCAATAGTGTCTTTTTTAAATAATACCTCTCCCAAATCTTTCTCGGAGCTTTGCACTAGCACTTGTGTAGCATTTGCAGTTAATGCACGGCGCCTAGCAGGTGTAAACCTCTTCCTTTTTGGATTTTCTTTTAAAGTGTATGTATGATCTGGCTTATGGCTTGGAGTTTCAGCAACGTCAATTAATTCACTGTCTATAGATGACAAAATTGCAATTTCTCCCTCCCACTTAAAAAGTGTCGTAGTTTCCAAAATTTCATTATTTCCTGACACGCTTGTAGAATTCATTGACTCCAATACCAGTTCCTCATTTGAAGTCAAAACATCTACAATGGGTGGCCCTCCTCCCGTTCCTTGCATATGTTTTTTTTTATTATATGCTTTTTTATTGAGCATTTCATATCCTGCCAAGTCTAAAAAAGAAAATTGTTCATAAAAAAATTCTTTTTTTGAAAAAAAAAAACTTACTGTTTTCCACTGCTTCCACTCTTTATTTGCGCCCGGCATAGAATTTAAAACTGAGGCTATATTTTCCCACTTTTCCACACTGTCTTTCATAGTGAAATTAGTAGAGAACTTGCCACTTAGCAATTGCTTGTCTTTGGTGACCATTTCTGTGAGTTGCTGTTTTTGCTGTTGACTGCAATACAGCTTTTTCTCTTTTATATCCATCCCCAACGGCGTTATTAAACAAATAAGTTTCTCTTCGAATATTGTGACACTACTGACACTTGACTTTGACAGACTCTTGTTTATGGATTCGGTGTCACAATAATACGGTGTACTGAAGAATAAGTCTCGAACAAAGCGATCGACATTAAAAGTGACAAATTACGAATTCGACAAACTTCGTTCGAGATTCAAGAATCGAGCCACTGGTTATAAAAACTATTCTTTAGAAGTCGAATTTGTATAACCACAATAAATAATTAAAAAAGAAAAAGGAAAAACTGTTAAAATAAATATTTCTTTTATGTATGTATTTGAATATATGTTTCTTCATAGTTCTTTTCTTATTTATCCCATAATAATATCCATAGATATTTCATGTAATTTCTAAAATATTTTCGTTAATATTCATCAAATTTCTGTAAGTAGCATATATTTTCTTCAAACTTCGGCAGTATTTTTAAATTCGCGCCTATACAAACTCTACGCGTGACGTCATGCGTGTGACTGTCCTATTTTTGACACTGTTGATATCCTACCTTTTATTTTTTATACCATGGTAAATAACGGTAAATAATGTAATTTTTTTACCACAAAAATCGGTAATTTACTTTGTAAATTACGAGTAAATTACTGTAATTTATTTCTGGTTAATTACGGTAAATCACCACGGTAATTTATCGGTTATTTACCAGTTCACATCTCTGATCTAGATACTTTTTAAAAAGTACGGATACATTTTACTTTTAAATAAGTGGGTTAAAATAATATTTGTATGCCAATAATTGAATTATCAAACGGTCTGAAATGAAGTTCGTGGTAATTATAAATCATTTTAAAATTAGTTACTTTGTCTTAATAACCCAAAGTAATTTTTTAAATTTGAAGATTTTTGTTAGTGGGTCCTATGAAAAAATATACTGCACAACTCGAGTGTATTGTCCATATCCAGTCTTGTTGCACAAACTACTTACTATTAAAATAATAACTTACACGTAATAGACACTTTTATTCTCGTATAATATATATTAATATGTGTAAGGGGTGAATTCCCTGGGGTTCTATCACTCACACAATAAAATTAACGCCATGAAAAATATAACATTAAATGTAACAACTATATTTAAATGAAAAATATTGATAAAAAGCTAAAACTGTTAAATAATACACTGAACGAACTCCTCACGTGTCGATTCGTTTTAGGTTAACTCCCGCTTCCCTTTTTCCCCTAGGCCAAAACCCATGTTTATAAAGCTAGCATGGCAAAGTCATAAGCCCGCAGAGCGACTTATACTATATTTTTTGGCAAATCTTTGCTATTTTTTTACCCAATTTTTTTATTTTTTTGCTCCTGCCGTTACCGAGAAACATTGGCCATGCTAGCTTGATACTAAAGCTACAATTGCCAGTGATGTATTTCTTTTTCTATGAGATATATCAGAATCGGGTTAG